AGTACGGAACGCGAGCTGCGACGGGGAGTGTTGCTCACTCTTTCAGTAGAATACTCACTCTCACTGAGACTTCCTTGGAGGAAGAATCTGGCCGTGATTACATACGTAGATCAGGGAAAGTCGTATTACAAGTTGTGGGGCAGAGGCAATCGGGTTTTGGAAAATGGCACTGCGCGCCGAAACTGCACTTGGCCGTCCCTCGCCACGACCTTGGTGGAGGTCGGCTATGGCGGTGTGGCGGATAGGAGGTGACTCTCCCTCTCCCTCTCCCTCTCCCTCTCTTGCCGCTGTTCCTGCCTCATCCATAATCCACCCTGTCTTGAGTACGAGTTCAAGTATCAATCATCGTCTATTGCTTGTAATCGGCCTTTCACTGTTGATGGCCGCTGTTTCCGTAGGGCGTATAGTAGGACCGGTAGTCGTCGGAAGCCCGCGACCGGTCGCAGGATGCACACGAGATAGTCCTAGCGCTAAAGATCTCACCACAACAGTTGTCGGTTTCGCCGATCATTCTTCAAAGGAGATGCCGTTCAAGGATAGCGACCAGTTCCGCAGAAGCGACCGGTCGCTCGCCGGTGATCCCTCCCTGGCGCCCTTTTCGTTGCTGAACGCCGACCTCTTTGCCCCTGGCACAGGTAAGGTCATCCTCATTCACCAAGCCGAACCACCTTTCGAGCCCGCGACCAGTTCATCGTATGAAACAAGGTCTGTTATCCGCAGCATCGTCTTCGTTCCCAACTCCACCATCTTCTATTACATCTTAGATCAACGGCGACTGGTCGTCGGAAGCGAAACGATGAGTCATCAATCGGTATCTTACAGAAAGGGAGATCTCCTCCCGATAAGGGAGGGGGGCGGCAATCCCGGGGGCAATGACAGTCTCATTGTGCCTGAGCTGATCAGCTATTGGTGGCCGTACGATACTCCGGACGGGATCGGGATCTCCACGCGCGTACTCTTCAACGCATCAGAGAACGCTACCGATCTGGCGCTCGTGTACGGCATGGAGATCACCGGATCGGGATCCCGTCTTGTCCTCCCCACCGTCCGGAGAGAACCTAACCACCTCCCCGAGCCATCGCGATTAACCTTCCTGTCCGTCGGCGATGGAAGCCGGAACTCCACCATCTTACCTGCTGCTGACCGCCTCTTTTATCTGTCGTACAACCCGGCAAAAACCGATCTGTTCATGATAGACAAGCAGAAACCGGCGCGCCTTCTTTCCATCCCCGTCGACGACGATGGCCTGCCGGTCAACACGTCAGCGCTGACCATCGTCAAGACCTTTCTGTTATCGTCGGGATCCGACAGTCCGGCCCAGATTTACATGAGCCGCCAGTGCTTTGTGTCGGACGGAAGGTGTCTGTACTTCCGTGAGGAGACACGTGGCCAGATCTACGCCATCGACACCAGATCGGCTTCCCGCCAAATTACACACATCGCTGGACGTCCTGGAAGCGATCCTCTCGGGGATGGACCGGCCTTGAACGCCTCCTTCGCGGATCTTCGAGAGATGGTGGCTACTCCCGACGGGTGTAATATCTTCGTCACGGAGCTGGAAGGCTATGTGCGCTGGATAAAGCTGAACGCTACATGCCAGGCGGGAGGGATGGTGGAGACGGTAGCGAGGCACAACAGCGCTCGTCTGTGGGGCTTGGCTCTGCACAGGTACGCCGGTCGATTATTTCTTTACGTAGGGAGTGTTGATGGTCGCATTTTCGAGCTGGAAATCCAAGAATCCCATCTACACACCTGCGTCTCTCCTTCTCCTTCTTCTCCTCTCCCTCCTCCTCCCTCCTCCTCCTCCTCCACCTCCTCTCCTTCGCCAGATTCGTCCGTCTTCTTCCCCCCCCCCTCCTCCCACACTTTGTCCCCTTCCCCTTCTGAAGAGGCGATACTCTCTCCCGCAGCTCCGTCAATCCCTGTGGTCCATCCTGCACCTGACGACGGTAATCAATCGTCCTCCTCTGGCTTGGCACATAATCTCCCTTTTGTGATCGGCCTTTCCCTCGGGGCTGTTGTCATTGCGGCTGCCATCTTTGGCGTGGTACTGGCGCGCTACTGCAGACAAGAACGCAGATCTCGCCCATCTGTCGCCAATCAACATCAACGGCAAAGCTCCTCCGTGTCCATGACGACGGACGGGACCGGGACTCAGCCGTCTGGCGCATCCTTGCTGGGATCCCGATCTGAAGACGACCGCGATCTGCAGCCAACTCAGGTCGTCCGATTCAGTCTGAAGGAGCTCTCCCGGTGCTGCGGCAACTTCGATGACAGTCGGCTGGTGGGCGATGCAGGCGCGTTCGGCCAAGTCTATCGCGGAGTGATTGAGGGGACAGAGGTGGCACTCAAGGTGATGACAAGCGATCTAACGGCCATCAAGAAGAAACAGTTTCGCGCGGAAGTCAACACGCTCAGCATGCTTAATCACCATAACCTAATCCGTCTCAAAGGGTATTGTCAGGAGAAGAACCGCGCGATCTTGGTCTACCCTTACGTAGCCGGCGGCAGCCTTCACGCGAGATTGCACAAGAGAGAGAACGCCATCCCTGGACAACCGACGCCTCCTCCTCTTAGCCTGATGGACCGCATGTTGCTTGCGCTACATATTGCGGAGGGGCTGAGGTACCTCCACGAAGGTGCTCGCCCGCCGGTCATTCATCGGGACATCAAGAGCAGCAATGTCTTGATTGAAGATGGTCCGAGCGGGAAGCTGCACGCCGTCTTGGCAGATTTCGGCCTCGCCAAAATAGGAAGCGAAATTTTTGGAACGTCTCATCAACAGCACGTGCAGACATCGCACATCGCCGGCACTTTCGGATACATGGCGCCAGAGTACATGCTTGATGGCAGGCTCTCCGTGAAGAATGACGTGTTCGCCTTCGGCGTGATGATCCTTGAGCTGCTGACGGGGAGGAAGGCGGTCACAAAGACTTCTTCTGGCGTGGGATGGGTGCCGCTTGTCGAATGGGTGAGGCCCTTCGTCGACCAGCAGAGCAGCAGTCTGTTCGGTCCTGGCATGCCAGACGCGATCCTGGACCCCTGCTTAAAAGATCGGTGGGTCTTGACTGCTGCAGAGAGGCAGATGGCGATGGAGATGCTTCGACTGGGGTTGGACTCTGCCCATGAACGCGACGTCATGCGACCAACGATGGGAGAAGTGGTGGACGCAATCCGCAATATCTGGCGTAACATGAAAGCTAAAGATGAGTCGGATCACGAAAAATAGTACATGATGTTGTCTGTAGTCTGTTATACAGTAATAACTTAACTTATTAGTGAAGTGATCACCTAATTGGTGAGCAGTGTCTGGGTAAACAGACGATGGGAGCGAAGGAATATATGAGGTCGTGATCGGATCCTATGGGCTTTGCGAGCCCCGCTGTCACGGGAGCAGTCAATCTTTTGCCATTCAAGTTCAGTCGTCGCTGGCATGGTGGGCCTGCTTGGCCTACCGCACCATTGCTTTCCTGATCGCGCTCGGCTGCTTATCTCAGGTCAGGATGAGAGCGAGGGGGAAGGGTATAAGTGGTATTGTGCGAATCGCGTGGAAGGGCAGGGGTTCAAGAAGCAGAGCGAGGATGGAGATCTATTATCTGTTTCAGCTGTTCTCCCTTCTTTGATTTCTGCTGGGAGACGGTGGGTGCGTTTGGGTCTGGCAGAGCATGGATGTGTGTGTGTGTGTGTGTGTGTGGTTGTGCGTTCGTGTGTGTGTGTGTGTGTGTGTGTGTGTGTGTGTGTGTGTGTGTGTGTGTGTGTGTGTGTGTGTGTGTGTGTGTGTGTGTGTG